GGGATAGTCGATCGGGAGGATCGCCGGATCGAAGGATCCTTTTCTTTGCTCCCGAACTGTGGGCTCCGTAAGACGTCCAACCTTCTCCGTTCACCGCAATAATAACGTTTCCTACGGATCCCATTGTTTTCTACGCGAGTAATACTTCGGGAGTTGAAAACGCACTACGCTCGAGCGTTTTTCCTCTTTCGCAAAAAAAAAACCTCAATTCCACTTTTCATAACACCGCGAACCGATTATCCGCGGCAGCGATTTAACGGTGACTCACGGTAATTTAGCGGTTCGCCGAGACTTTCGGTCGGTTTCTTTGCGGTTTAACGATCGATAGTGGGATCTAACGATGTCCTTGAATGGTCCAGAGATCTTGCGATTCCCTCTTCGCCGACTAAAATAATTCTTAGATTAACGTTAGAATTTTAGCACGGGGCTCGAGAAAACGAGACGATGTTTGGTCACCGGACGAAGTCGATATTTCCAGGCGTTGTAAATGTCGGAACGTTGAAGGAAACACTATGTCGTTACCTGTTCAGGTTCCAGACGGTGTGTTGCATATTTTGTATGCTTCTTGCGGCGCGGTATAACTCTCGAACCGTAGAAAAAAACATCTCTCAAATATAAATCTCAATTCACCGGTGTACCCGGTTGAGTTTGACTTTTGAACCTTCGCTTTCTCCTCGCTTCCGTTCTTGCATCATTGTTTCGGCGTAGATTCTGCAATGCCGAACACAGAGCGACAAGATTTTCGAGCCAGCACTTTCCATTTCATCGGCGGTTATAAGTCGTGTCGCGTGTCTTAATTTCGAAGTTCAATTTCTTCAAGTCGATCTTTTCTCTGTTGTTTGCCACCTGTTGACATTCGTTCCAAGTTATATCGCTTCCTTAAGAATAACACAACTATGAGATTTAAGGAAGGGGGCAATAATTTTTATTACAAAGCGGTAGCGGCCGGGTAATTTGCAAGACCTGTATTTTTACGCGATCGACGCGACGAGCGTTAAGATGGATTCGCGTCAGATTCTTCCTGTGCCTCCGAAGAGGAATTAATATTCTTCCGTCGTCTCGATTCGCAGCCCTTCTCTCGGGAAACCCGTGTACCGCGGCGTCGCGGCGAAGAGACGCAATCACGAGTTAATAAATCTCTCAAGAACCAAGCGATTCCCTTCGATTTATAATCCCGTTTCTCCCAGCGAGAGGAAACGAATCCACGACCGCGGGGTCCGTAAATCCTGAGAACCAACGTGGAGGCGTCCGGGACTATCGGAAGCGTTCGAACGTCTCGAACTTTCTACGATCTCATCGTCCCCAGGAATTCTTTGCCTCGATAACAACGAGGAAGATCAACCGTACACGACGGACACGTACATCGTACGACCAGTCCTCTCCTATCGGTTCCCTTATACATGCGTCGCTTCGTGCCTCCGTAATTTGTGTGTTTCGAGGTCGTGGAGAGAAGAAGACCCGGTTTCGAGGTAGAAGAACTTCGCGGAGGTAAAAACGTGTCGGTCGAGCTCGAGATACCTCAACCATATCGACGACCAAGAGGCACGAACCGACGGACACGCGTTAGAAACGGGCAAAAATCTATTATTTTTATCCATTTCTATTCGACGATTTTGTCGTATAATCAGAACTTTTTAAGTCCTTTTATATCAAATACGCAAGAGGATCCTCTAGACCCCTGTGCAACATTTCTACCGGTCTCAAACATTGCCCGACTACGAAAAAGAACATTGTTCCGACACTGTTGGATTATTAATAAATAATCATTAGAAAACTGAATCTAACAGTGAGAAACACTGTCCATTGTCTGCATACGAAGACCGTATTGGCACGATCGGGCCTAGGGGCTCGGGGCTGTTTTGTCGTCGAGGGCCAAGGAAATAAACATGATGCAGGCAATGGTTTCTTTCCTTTTTAAGTGGACGCCAGATTTTCTTTTAGGGGATCTGAGCGTCGCTTTACTTCTTGTTCAGTTTTAACAGAGTAAAGACGTCCTTCCAAACCACAGAATAAAGTTTCATTTTTGCTTACAAAGTGTACTGCTTTTTCACCCAATTCCAATAGACACCAATATTACTTGTATTTTGCTATTATTCGGAACAAGCGAGACACTCGGGGTCCGTTAAGTCTGAATCGATTTGCTCGTAGCTGGCCTACGTACACTGATATACGTAAACCATTTTTACGGTTCATTAATTTTAATTAAACCGTGGAGGAGTAATCACGGCCGTGGCGAACACGTGCAACGAGTAAGAGGGTTCACGCTTATTGGTATAGCCGCGTCATTTTCCCAATCTTTCTTCGTTATTTTCATATTTTTATATATGGTGATAATCCATACAAAAAATCTTGAATAACGTTAAAATATTATTGAAAATAGACTTCGATTCGTGTTCGAAGTGATTCGAGCTGCCATCGCTACTAATGCTATATCGTCTATTTGTTATTCCTTGACCATGCCTAGCACTTGAGGCGCGTACCACCAATTTCTTTTCTCGCCTGTTCGACTTGACGGTTCGGTTCTCATTCGAAACGGATTCCGACGTGCGAAAGTGCGAGCAAACGAGCTCGTTAAGATCCAATTGTTTGTTTAATTACAGTAGAAGTGCCGATTGCAACGCGGGAGATACCACACGACCGTAAAACGTGCACGCAGCGACCTACATTTTTTAATGTCCGGCATTTCATTGCGATATAATCGAACCTCGTACCCGCCTTTTCCTACGGCTTTTACGTAAATTCGGATTTTTATTCGACCGCGTATCGATATTACGTTGCTTAGCGTCGACAGACTCGCGTAATAAAAAAAAAATTTCGATCGAGCGTATTGTACTATTTTTTACGTTAACCGTAGCAGCGGGTCAATAAACTTTCTACGAACGTAACGAGATTATTTTTAATTCGTTAAACAAGTTTTTTCATTATATTAATTTCCGATCTTATCGAATCGAAAATGCGATTTAGTTCCATGGTTTACTTCTATTTTTTTCTCTTTTTATTCGCGAGCAACGAGCATATAATGCGTATAAATTATTCGAAGGAGAAAACATAAATTTCTTTGTAATTAAGTAAACTTTTACTAAACATAACTCGCGAGCGCATTATCCAGGTTATAATTTAAATGATTCGTTTCGTTTCCAGCCGTAACATTGATAACATTTTTTCTAGGCAATTCGAGAGAATTATATGTATATTTGTCTGCAAATCATGTTTAGATAAAAGGAATATACAATTTAAATTTTATCAACGAAGGCTGGTGTCTCGAAGGATCAACGATCTCCGTTCTTTTGTATACGATATGTATACACTGAGCAAAGACTGACCTGACGTAATCGTACGCGGGATGAGCCCCTCGAAGTTGTGTGTACTGTTACACGGTTTAGGCGGATGTATAATAAAAGAATCGATGCGTCGTATGTGGGCGACACGCGAGAAAGTAAAAAAATACTCCGGGGGGCACGTATATTGTCTTTTCAACGCGGTACCACGCCGCCCACTGTCAAATGTTATCGTGATATTATGCGGGCGCCATGTTCCTTACGAAATCAAAGATCGTAGAGGATTTTTAAGAATGCGAAGATCGCTTTCAGCGGATACGCTGGTTTTATTCATTATTCATTATTCGAATAAAATTTTTCCCGTCTCTAACGAGCACCGTGTAACGCGTATTTCAACTTGACCGTGGCTAGGTGCTCGAATAAAGAAACTTGTAAATTTCTGAAACAGCTCGGAACGAATATCCTGTCCTTTCGTCCGATCGAAGTGAGAAAAAAATGCGTAGAATCGAGGATACGTTGCCGAGAATAGCGAATAAAACCCGAAGGGTGTAAAATTAATTTCAAATTTATTCTCGACAGAATCACGTACGCGATAACTTGTTAATTATAAAGGCGGCTCGTTTAAACGTAACTACCTAAGAATTATTTTCATAGAATAACATTTTGCTATTTTTAAGTTATTATGGTTCTACGCGCGCGGAAACTCCATAGACCGTGCAACGATTATCAGAATCTTTCGCGGTGGAATGTAAAAAAAAGAAGAAAAAACGGATACGAGGCGCAAGAATGACAATTTCTGTGGAATACTGATTTTAAACGCATCAAGATAAATGGAGAAAAATCACAAAATCACGACGTTTCGAAAAGACCCAGTGTGCCGTTCTAGGGTCGAGTCTCGAACGACGTTTATTCAAGGCAACAGGTGACCATCGGACGACAGTTCGGTGCATCTCCGCTCGCGCTGCCATAAGTTTACGCGTTTATCCCGCGCGGAGCGAATAGTTTCCATTTCACTAGCTAGATTCGGTATACCATTCCGGAGTGACTTTCACGCAAAGAAATCATTCTGGTCACATAGCGTGGCGCACCTCGCTAGAAATTCCATAATGACCCACTACCACCGCGGAGGGAAATCTTGGCGAGCGAGCGCGCGCAAATCTTTTGTCTGCGCACTTAACGGAGTGCGGAGAGAAAAAAAAAACAAAGAATTTCTATTCGGTCCGCGCGACGCGGGTATTTATCACCAGACGGAACGCCAGAAAACGTATTCGTTTCGGAAGGATCGATCGCCTTGTTCGCGGATCGCGCGAGGAAGTTTGTAGACCAGGAAATGGTCACGGTTAACATCGGTATCGGTTGCTTCTAATTGTCAACGTTTCAGACAACTACTCCGGTCCCCCGATTGTAACACAACTCTCGAGTATCTTGTTTCTCGTCTATTCGTTTCTTTCACGAGTAGGAAATGGCGTGAACGGTTTCATAAGTATCGCCAACCACTTTCTCCACGTTCTCCTAACAACCTTTGTTACATTATATCGAAATCGGATGCGGTGCAACGCCGGGGGGACGCCTATCCAAATAAACGTAAATATAAATATATAAAATAAACAATGGTTTCGGGCTGGTTATTTGCAATCTGATATCGACGCTCTAGAGATTGTAGATCAACCGTGAAAATGCACGCGTTGCTCCTATACACACGCCATATCGTGCGGTACTCACGTTAACCATCCGTGGTTGCGTTTCGGTTCTATTCCAGGCGGAGAAACCTCTTCGCGGAGGTCTTCTTCGAGATCCTCCTCAAGGTCGCGCGGGCCTCTCACTTTATCACCGGTTCCTGACGGAAGAAAGGATCGGTCCTTGTGCACACACTGACCTTACGGGCACTCGCACTTTCGTCGATCTACCCCACTGCGCAGAACCAACGAACGAGCGCATGAAAAATCGCGAAATGTATGCGTTAACGCGAAGTCAAATGGCACGGATAAAACTCGTGCGAACCGTAACGTACGGCAACATGTTGTGGCATCGCATATACGCAAAGCAACTTCAACCACCAACCGACTACAACCGACCGACTGAATGACTGACTGACTATGCGCTGACTACCAGCCGTGAACTGCCAGTCGCAGATCCGGACCCGATCACCACCATCCTGGCTGGCCTTCCTCCTCTTTCTCTGGTCGCCGAGTTACTGACGTTCGTCCTCTCTCTTTTCCTGCCCCCTCCACCTCACCCCCATTCTGCGCCGCACGACGCTTTGTACTCCCAGCAGCCGAACTTTGTTTACGAAGTTTCGAAAACCTTATTCTTGCTTTGTCTCTACGGTTCAGTGTGGTCGATTAGGGAATTGAATCAAGCACAGCTGCGCCTGATTTCTATTACAGTGCTCGAACTTTTATAACAGAATAACGGGAGATTACGATTTCCGTGGACCCTTGTATAGCGGTCAAATTTGTGTTCTTGGGGTCATTTTAAGAAATAAATGTGTACGTCACATTATAGGAAATTGAATTTCCTACGAAAAAGATCTGTATATATTTTGCCATATCTCGTATACTTTCCGAGATATTTGCAGGTTTATAAAAAACAAGAAATCTACTTTCCCGGCTAAACTAGATCGATTTGATACCTATGACATAATATAATTTTTTTCTGAAAATGACCCCAAAAAAAAGATTGTCTGTTTTGTATTATATGAACACATGTTAAGTGATACGACTCACCTTTATTTTGAAAAAAAAAAAAATAAAACGTGTTCTCTCCGTCAGGGGCGGATCCAGGGTACGTCGAGCAATGGGGGTAATCACCTACCCCACAAGAGTTATGGAAACTTAACAAAAATGGATTCATTTTCTGTAAACATATAAAACATCTATGAATTATATTATGAGTTTAGATTTTCTAATGTAAAATTTCATCTACCTTTATCTCGAGAACGTTAAGTCTCGAAGGTTTAAGCTTCTTTTCTTTTCTCGCAAGATTCGCCATCTTTCGAATATTAGCATACCTGAAATCAAGTTTCGAGTTACCACGTTGAAACGACCGAATAGAATAAACAACGATTGAAATGTGATTCGGAAAACAATGGAATGTTAAAGTATCAATTACAACGGAAGTTTTCTACGATTACGTTACGAGAGTTCTCAATGGCGGATACGTACGAAATTAACGTCGGGTGAAAAGTACCAAAGAAGAGAAGAAACGACAGCGACTGAGAGAACTTGATGGACCAAAAAGAGCAAAAGCGAATTGTAACTAAAAGAAGAGAAAACGTGGACCGTAGCCCGAAGCAACCGGCCTTTTCTGGTGAAAGCTCATGCACGTTGACTTTGTTCGAAATGTTCGAAACTGTTCTCTATCGACTAGCAGCTGATTTCTTCAATAACTTGCATTTTGATTTTCCCATCGAGTAATAATCATTTGAAAATACATTTATGTACTGTGATGTAATTTAGTCAGATTCTGCTCCTGCACTATCGTTAAACATGTTTATAAATTTTATTACTTTTCGTTTATTATGGTATCCGTAGTAACAATGCGACACAAAAATCAGATTTAAAAGAATGAAATCATTTTGAAATGAAATATTGTTTGCGTTATTTCGCGGATTGTGTGTCGAGATTTAAACGGCAGAACATGATGAACAAGAGCAATAGATACTCACTTCATGGTACTCTCTCTTCTTCTCATCGAACCTTAGAAAGTACACAAGTAAAGTGCACTCGCCGTGGAATAAATAGTCGAGTATATGTTTTGTGAATGCATTCTGAACTCCAAAAGAGCAACAGAGCGCTATCTAACAACTGTTCGAAGCACTTATATATACAACATTTTACCATAGACGAGGTATACGAGTAGACCTTTCACTCAATGTATTTTTTCGGCCCATTTTTCTGGAGCTTTAGCGTCCCATTACCAAGAGGAAGTGAGACAGAAAATGAAATTACACAAACATTCCTGGCCACACATATTTTCGGTAAAGAATTTCTTTCTCGAAAGTGCGTAGGATTTCGGAGGTATGTGTATTCACCAAAAATGATTGCGATTGACCCCTCCGATCGAAAATCATTTTTCCAGAGTGATTTGAAACTTTTCAATTTTGCCGAATTTAGGCACTTACCCCCTGTCGATTTTCCTTGAAAATTCGTTTTCGATTTTTAGTCATTTTGTTTGACGCCCTACAGACAAGTTGTCTAATACTTTTTTATTGGTACCCATTCACTATTGTAGGTGTTATAGTCATTTGAGAATTGCGTTTTTTAATCCGTTCCATAGTCACTCACATGTATTTACGCAAACACTACAGCTGTTTGCCTATCAATACTAATTCAGTGAATAGTTTCTCAACTAACCGTCATCCATGAGAAGAGGGCGCTAAAATCACCTACGAATTTTCAGGTCGGTATGGCAGTCAGATTGGGCCACGAAAGTCCATAAGGTGTAAGCAGAGACGAGGGCACTACTTTCCCGCCATTTCCATACTTTTCGATTGATAGGTTATAAATATGACCACATCGAACGAAGAGGTCGTTCAAAATCCACTGGCTTTTTACCAGGTCGATATTTCAGTTTGTGTGACACCAATTTCTATAAGGTGCATAGTCTATTGTATATTTCGTCTGTGATATTACTATCGAAAGTATTCGAAAACTATCGACGACAGCGAATATCAATAATTTAAAAACCTACTGTAGTATTTTATGAAGCGTACATATCTAAAGTACAATTTTTAATATTTAAAATTGATAATGGCATTATTTCCATTACATCGACACAATACGCATGTGACGTTATAATCAAACCGACAGTAATATAAATAACTTATTTGTAATATAAATAAATTTTTAAAAAGTACCTTATCCGAAAGGAAAATCGTTCTAATGTATTCTAAAATTTATTTTGTATATTTGGTGAAACGTTAGTTAGGTTTCTATGTGTGCGAATATCTTTTTCATTGGTTAAATAACCATTCAATAAGCATTCCTGAATCTTGTTATGACCAATCACAAAGGAGATATACATTAAGGCGATTTTCTAATCTCTATAATCCTTGAATTGTGTTCATCTTGTTCCATGGTAGCGTCAATCTCGTTTATCGAATTTGTGGAACATCGTGGTCTGCCGATCGGAAATAGTTATTAAATTTGTTATAAAATTGTTATTTTAGTTAATAGAAACGTCTGAAGGTATACTCGTACGTTACAATTTTTGTGTAATTAATAATAATAAATATTAATACTCCAAATAGATCGCAGTGGTTGTAAACGTACAAAACTCTTGCATTGCACGTTATTGCTATTATATTTACTAAACTTTATTGTTATTTAAATAATTTTTAATTGTATTTATGAATATTATTAAGATTTACTCATATACAGTAATTGTTTCTTTGTTATGAAATTTACTTAAAATAGTTAATAATTTTGTATATGTTATGTTTAAATATTGTACACATTTTTAATACTAATTTTCATTTTCAATTATAAAATTGAATTATTTTTCATATAAAGAACAAATATAAGTAGTAAAGTTTGCACATAGAGTAATTTATGTTTGATGAAAGCAATATTAAATATGTCCTTTTGTATTCATCTTCTTATAGATAAAATCCTTTAAAACTCGTATAATAGTTATTAATTGCAATGAGATAAACATTAAACTTATAATTAGATGTATTAGAATTGAAAAAATTACTTAAGTTTTACAAAATTTTTAGTTAATTTATAGTTTACGTATTTGTTAATTAACAAATTGAACGCTGAGCAAATTTTGCATGTCTTTCCACTCTTCCTGAATGCCCCTGTGACATTCTGAGCTATCTTAAGTATTTGTTTAAATTCTGTAAAAATTAGAAACATTCGATATTTTAATGTTGTAGTGATGATTTTACAATATTTTCAATGATGTTAATGTTATTTTAAAGTTTACAAGTATAATAAGGTTCATTTAAGGTAAGCATTATATCTTAAAGCATTGGTTAATAATGATCAATGCTATTAGAATAGATAGAATTGTAGTGGATACCAATGTTTGCCATAGCATTCAATCTGTTAAAATAGCTACACTTTAAATTGTCTGTATATATGGTTATAATGATAATTAAACCATATATACAACAATGATATACGATTGTTTTTATATTACATTTACAATTGTCTATGTAAACATTTATTTTTGACTTTATTACAGAAATGTCTGAATCAGATCTTTTAGCAACAGATCACATCGATGGTCTAGATGGACTTGAAAATGGTCAAGATGGAGATGCTATTATGCAGTGTGATGGTGTAAAACGTGAATTGAATGAAGCAAATATTGATGATCCGGTAGTTTATTTTTTCTGTTGTAAACGTTTAAAAATCAATAAAATTGCATGAAATTTTACTTCATTAACAAGATTATATTATTGGATTACTGTAAATATATAATTGCATTATTATGAAAAAAAATTCCTTTAACTTTTCCGCTTTAGGAATTGGAAGCTATTAAAGCACGTGTTAGAGAAATGGAAGAAGAAGCAGAAAAATTAAAACAATTACAGTCTGAAGTGGACAAACAGATGAACATGGGTAGTCCACCCGGTATAAGTAAGTTGTAAATTTAATAAATTTGCGTGTACAACAATTTAACACGAATAGTAATTGCATAGTAATTTTCAATTTTCAGCAAGCCCATTAAATATGTCGCTCGAAGACAAGATGGAAGTTGATAATAGATCCATTTATGTTGGCAATGTAAGTGAACATTGTATATAAATAATCTTGGTGTTTGTGTTTTCTTTTAATTTGATATTAATTTATTTGACCTTTACATAATCATAAAGGTTGATTATGGTGCTACAGCAGAAGAATTGGAACAACATTTTCACGGTTGTGGCAGCATCAACAGAGTAACTATATTGTGCAATAAATTCGATGGGCATCCCAAAGGTTTTGCTTACATTGAATTTGCAGAACGCGATTCTGTACAAACTGCTATGGCAATGGATGAATCTATGTTTAGAGGACGTCAAATTAAAGTCATGCCTAAAAGAACAAACAGACCAGGACTCTCAGTGACGAATAGGTGCTTAAACTTTAGTAATATTATATTTAAAATGATCATTGGCTTGGTGGTTTTCTCCTTTAAATTAAAGCATCCGTTACTGTAATACGAATAATATTGTAATATATTTTCAGGGGACCACGGGGAGCACGAGGCTACCGAGGTATGGCCAGAGGAATCATACGTGGCAGTGCATATTTCGGGTATAGACCCATAAGGCGACCTAGGTAAGTTTCAAGATTATGAGTACTTTTTCAATTGGTACAATTTAGAATATATACTCTTATTGTTATGTAGGAGTTACAGGCGAGGTTACTACATGCCGTATTGACTGTTTTAAAACAGTTTACTACTATTTTACAAATTAAGGTAAGTTCTAATATTATCATGGTTTAAATTATCTTTTTTTTATTTTGTCTGTTTCCTGTGATTGTTCAAACATAAAACGTCCAATAAAAGGGTAACTAAAAACTTTTTATACTTATAATTAAATAGTTATACATATAATATAAATAATTATGTGTTAAAGATAAATGTTTCTCATAAATATTGTAGTATCTAATAGCATTATAAAACGACCATAACTAATTTAGAAAAATCATTTCGTTTGAACAATCAGTGTATATATTATAAAGCAATACAGTTATAGGAAAGGCTGGTGAAGCAACGAATCGCTTAGGTATTACATATTGTTATAAAGACAGTATGAATACTAATAATGAATACTGAGTAAAAAGTTACCATACATTTACTAGCCATTCCTGAATGATTGTAAAAATATTATTTCTCGGTGATGATTAACGTATGTTCTTGATCATTATTTTAATATTCTAATGTATCTATATAATTTATTTAAAAAATTGTAAATTTATGATACTAATAATTTTAAATTTAAACTATTACAAATTATCCATTAATTTTCTACAGTGAAGATTATGGAATTTCTATTTAGATACATTGGCTTTGATAGGAATGCCACTTACTGTGCTCTAAGTTTTATATTCAGCCTTAACACATGGTCATATTTTAAATATTGATAACAGAAAACCTATATCGAAGTAGTAATTTTAAGAATATAATTCTGTATTTTAATTACACTTCAGCTAATAACAAATTTGAATTACTCAGAATACTGCTTTTTGTTATAAAATTCTATAAATACTTGTTCTTTTTTTTTTATAGTATACACAATTCTACAAATAATAGGTGTTCAGTTTCATTATACGATATGGTCATGTGCACTGTAAAGTTAGATATTGTAAGTTCTTGTGCATATCTTATTTATAGGTTACACAAAACTTACATATTTATACGAACATGCATTACAGTATGATGCTGCTAAGGTGTTTAAGTAAATTCTTATGATATGTCCACAGAAAAAAAAACTGATACGATGGGAAAAAAAAGACAAAGAAAAAACCTCATGTCAAAAGAAAAAAAAAAGATTGGACAAAGATGGGCACAATTAATCATATTTGATTTAATGAATCATATGAACATTACAAATGTAGATCAGCGATGATTTGCTATTGCAGTTCAATTGTGTTTTTATATCATATTTGAACAGTTGGAATCCAACTGGTTCTGTAATATCAGCCTTTATTAGTTTTCCAAGATTTTCAGTCCAGCTAGATTACAAAAATACATACAACATTGGAATGTTAATAAAATCATATTAATTTAGAAAATTCCCCCGAATGTGTTTGTGTATAATTGTGTAATTCAATTGTTACACAGTTTGGAAAAAAATCTTGTTTATATCTCGAATGTTATAAATACATAAAAAGTATATGTCTTTCCTTTTCATACAATCTATGTAATTGTAAGATATTATCATACATAATTAATGTTGTAACAGCTTCTATTTATCATTTGTATACTAATTTCTTAACAATATATGTATAATTTTTCCTAAAATAGAAACACTTTTCTCTTTTTCCAACTTAACGTCTTTTTTTTTTAGTTTGTTTTAACATACAGAACTAGATATTTTAATTATCTATGAAAATTATGACCTATTTAAATTTTATTGAAACATCGTGCATTTAAAATCTAACAGTTTCTATTTAATAAAATTAACGTAAAATAAAATAAAACTTTTATAATCTACATACAAATAATTGTGATTGTAAATGTTAATAGTATTAAAATATGTTAAGATAATATTAAATTGACACAAGAAAGAACAGTTTTTGTAGTATATACAAAATCAAGAAATTATAATAGGATCCTAGACAATGGTTTTAGGAAATTATAACAGAGCAATAATCATTTTAAAAATATTTTGGTATAATATAAAGGCTGATAGAATAATGACAAAAAATGTTACTGTGTGTATTATTACGAAAATATATTTTCAATAAATGTCCAATACCTTCGATTATTTCAGTAAAACGCGCATTTTTAATGTCAAACTTAAAATAAGAATTGAACTGCAATACAAATATCTAGAGTAATATCATATTACTATAATACTAAATTTTGTATGCATAGTAAGTGAAAGTTGCTAAAATTATGTTGTTATAATTCTCGTATAGAGTGTCATGCATTGATATTGATGTGCGCAACTTTCATTTATTTATTACTAACTATACATCTTCAATTTTATCTCAAACACATTGCTACTAATTTGTAAGATGCGTGTAAAATGTTTTTGAACCATTAATCCACTGTGCTATGATGTTAGGGGGAAGAGCCAAGTTTCCACACATTAATGATCGAGCTACATTTCGTAACGTTACTTCCATGTCGCTAAGTATTTTGCAGGTGCAGTGCAGCATCAGCATCAATTGAGTGATAATCATACAAATTTCACGAACAATTTTTACGTTCCATTTAAAAAAAAAAAGAAAGAAAAAAAAAGAAACGAGAAAAGAATAATTAAGATATAAGTGTAACATATAAATGTAATATGATTGGGTGGTAAATAAAGATTTTCTTGGCTTAAATTTCGTACGACGACTTCTTTCGATAATAATCGAAATAGTTCGAATAATCCGCCAATACGTAGGTTCAACGCAGAAACTGCCGAAATCTTGGTATGTTTTTTATCATCTCTCTATTGTCTAAATTACCTGATAAATCGTCAGCATATATTTCATCGTCACTCTTATCACTGTATGAAAACATGTTTTAGAAATCACGTCTGTATAAATGTACATTGTACAAGCGAATGAAACTCTTTGTTTAAGTTTGTCTATCAATATTTTGCTGAATGTTTAGATAAAATACAATAAGGTTCGTACTCGTTAATTAATGCATGAATACGAGCCGAATTTTTGGACGAGTTGCTAGAATATCAAACTCAAACCAGAAAAAGAAAGAGCTAAGAGACAATGTGCGATAGTACTTGGAGTCAAAATGGTGTCGTTTGAGCACCTTTCCTCGATAACAGGAAATACTGAAAGGGCTAGTAATTCTGGATCTTTAACCCTTAATGTGGAATGGGTAGGAGGTAGATGGTATGCTTATGATCTTCGGATTAGGTGATTATAGAACATAGAACCCAGATACACCAGGCGTTGATATGCCAAGTAACACTCCACTGTTAATGCATGGCTCTCATTCTCAAAGATTTTAGTTTGCTGGTAAATAAAGATACACGTATATACTCGGGTCAACGAGATGATTCACTGAAGATAAACAAAGTGCTTGATGTGGTCAATGTTGCGACTGCAGTCATTGACTGTCAAAGGACACTTACGAGTCACATTTAGGGACGTTTGTTTTAGTTTGCTGACTCACCCTCGTCGGCCCGAGTATACGTCAGGACTAACAATATGTTTAAAAACATATTAGCATGTGTTTATATTATTACAAAATTAGGTAAAATAAAAGTAACACCTATAAATTAGTGATTTGCGTTTATTAAAATTCAGTAGCATTTAAATCGACATATTTTTTTACATTTCAGATCAACAGTTAATGTTATTGGAAGGATAAATTTTGTTCATACAAATTAATGATATTTTTATAACAGATATAATCAGAATATTGTTACATTTATTTTATTAGAAATTTATATTTCATTCTATCTTTGAAGGCATATATAAATGCACAATTAATCTCTAAAGGTTTAGCAGTACTTATTAATGGAAAGCTTGTAAAACATTAGTGTTAACAGTAAAACTGAAGACCTGAATTTAAAACGTTAAAGTATAACAATACAAAATAATTACTATATATTTTATAGGGACTATATAATAATGCAAACAAATTATATTTTTGAAGCATACTATAATCATAAGATTCTAGTCTAATCACACTATCTTTTATTTTATTACAGTATTAACATCAGTAACATTTATTTAAGCGTTATATATACTATATGTATGGTTTTTGAGTAACACGACTATCATTATTAATACTGTTTCAACGGCCACGCGAGGTACATGAAGTACCTAGTTTTAAGAAAAGTACAAATACTTTAAAAATATTGGTAAAAATGCACAAGTCTCATATTAACATAATTAATATTCAATTTATTAGACTAGAACCTTAAATATTAGTTATAATTTGTAACTTTATAATATAAAATGATATATAATATATAACAAATAATTAAGTTAATTCTCAAAACATTAGTACATAATGTTTAAATTGATCGATTTTTCGATTAATATATATAAATATAATTAACAATTAAAAAATATAATATGTCATAATAAAACATTAAAAATTTATCTCTCCCGAACTCAATGTATATCTTTAAATATTTCATTGCATTTTTATAGTGATCAGATTTTTAATTCAGGTCCTCAATTTGAATCTACAGAATTTAATAGCAATATCCTGGACTTTCGCCCCTCTTTTGATAAATGACCATGTTCATATAATAGTTTTATTATTTGGTCTAAAGAACAGGATATAAGATTGCATAGATATAAACATTGACTAGTATACCAACTTCGTGGTACGCAAATTTTGTTTTGGAAGGCAATAGTCGTCGTTAAGAATTTTTACTAATCATTTCAAGAATTGATTGTCGCAACCTTATTATGTTTGTATGTGAAGTTATTAAATTTGTTAATATCCTTACGCCATCTTCCCTGATTAGCATGCTGCAGTAATGTTTTGCTACAAATTATAAGAATTTAAATATAAAACAGCACTTCTATATTCGTTGGTATTAATATATCTAAATATTTATCTTCGTTTTAAAAAAATTATACTATTTATAGTATTTCTGTACACTAAACAAATTTCAATTATAAAAAATATGCTCACGATTTTTTGTAATTACATGCAGTATTGCCCAAACTGCCCAAAGTTGAACAGGAGCATCCGGACAACGTAGAAGCGGGAAAAATGGTTGAAAACTTCTATAAGCAACCATTTCTCCTTGAGGTGTACGCCAACATGTCACAGTACGAGCTAATTGTTGTAATAATTGATCTCTATTTTGTAGTAAATGATTTCTAGACCACAGTTGGGGGCCATCGCTAAGCAACTGTGCAGTAATGCCTGCCGCGAAATAAGATACATCAATATGTGCAGAATCCAGCAACATAGAAAGCATCCACATAAATTTAGGTATCATAAGCCTTGGCCTCAAATAATTAACCTATAATGAATTATATGGTTATTAATGATTTAATAGTAACGAAATAATAGCTACCTATACTATAAAAATTAAAAAAAGTTTTAACTAAACTTAACATCAAAATTAAAGAGTAATAGTATTTACAACAATATTACTTGCTTGATGATTAGCTTTCAAATGATAGAATAAATTACAGTACAAACCTCTGCTATATTATTTAGCAACCCCAGTACTTTAATTTCAACGCTAGACTCTCCTTGAAAATTTTCAAGCATTAAAAGAAACAATTCCATTCCACCTTCAGCTAGAAAGGCTTTACATGTTGCAGCACTTTCGTCAGTTAAATTCCAAAGAACACTTAATGTAAATTTCATTGTTATATCTATTGATTTCGATTCAATTTTAGACTTAACTATTGCAAGTAATACAGACATATACTGTGGCTGAGTACCCAGCATAGACGTTTCTGCCAGTGTTATCTTTCCTACTAACATTGAGGAAATAGCAACAGACATACGAATTATTGATGGGTCGTTAAAAATTAACAACGAATTCATTACTAATTTCACGCATCTGCAGAAATGAGAAACATTTAAATTATAAAATAATATTATAAATTTAATTTCATAAGCCGAAATTTCAATATATTTTAGTTTTTTTTTTTTACTCAAATTTGAAATTTCTTTCTAAAATTTTCATAAAATTTAGAAATTTCAACTACCTGTATTTGTCGAAGGTAACATCCTGTAGAATTCTATCACTACATAAAGTCAGTAATGTATTCATCTGAAGTCTATGTTGTGTTGGATAAGATTCCATCGCTACCATAGTCAATTCCACAACTTCCTTAAGTATTGATGGGTGAATCATAATAGCGAATTCACCTTTGGAAAGATTATAAAGACATGCAGTGCATCCTATTTGCACATGAGCTTCGTGTAGATTCTCTTTCATTGCAGATAACACTAACTTTATAATATCAACTCGTGGTTCAAGAAACATATGTGATAATCGGAATAAATTAAATAAACATTTCTCAAGATAATGTGGCCTACATGTATATCTTCTAAGAGATTCCTTAAGTTGGGACTCTGTTGCTGTACCACTAACCTATAGTAAAAAAAGTAATAATATTTTATAATTATTTACAATTATCCAATTCCTTCTAATTAGAACATATTAATAGTTGTATTATTATCATAACTTACAACAAGATCGGGTCTATAATCTTTATTAGCTGAATTTATTAAACTGTCTTCATAGCAAGCATCTGTATTTACAAGTCCCAAAAACTTTAAATGCCGATGAGCTTTAATAAATTCTTTTAAGTCTTTCGTATCTATATCATTCTTAACTAGAATGAATAGAAAAATGATCATATATTATTCAGATACTAATAGAAGCAACGTGCTGAACATGCAATACCTACCAGATAAATCTAAATTTGATAGATATGGCATACAATGTACAGCTTTTAAAAACTCTCCTATTTTTGGTCTTACAGGCCCTAACACGTAGTAACGAGAATGCATATCTCTTTCATCAGAAATATCTAAGTTCCTCAATTCATTTAGCTCCAATAATACTGAGATTAATTTTGAACTTTCATTTATTTTCAAATTATACATACTAAGAGACTTTAGACGATTTTTACACTTTTTTAATGGTGTTAAATCATCAACACTTGTACATGAAATATCTAAACTCTCTAGTAGAGGGAGGTCTTCAACTACTATTTCCAAACCATGTTTATTAAACTCTGTTCCTGATACATTTAATGTACTCAGGGCTCTCAATTTACTTAACGTTACTACCACACAATACCTGTTATAAAGTAAAAATATACATGGTATAAACATTATCATATACTAAAGAAATGTTTTATTTGTTACAAGTCTGAGAATAGTTAATATCGAATACCGTGAACAATCCATAAAACTTCCTTTTGCTACGCTCAATGATCTGAGGTTTTGTAAACTCCAGTCACCTAAACAACTTATCAAATCATTAACAGTTATCTTTAATCCATTTACTACTAGCACTTCCACTTTATGTTGCTTTAAAACTTTTAAGCCTTTTGCTGTTAATGCAGATGCATCTTTTAATCGTACATGTCTATAAAGTAAAATGAAATATGATTAATATTTTACTTGTACATTTATTTCTTAATAAGTAATCATTCCAGTTTGATAAATACTACATAATTACCTTAGCCTAGTTGATTTTGAATCGAACAATGTCATAGTCAAGTCAGATATAGTTTCCTTTTTGCAAAGGTTAGATAGTAACTGTTCCGAAATTTCAGTAGGCAAAAAAACATCTGGTTGCCTAAAACTAAGTCTTGGTACTAACAACACATCGCTAGATGTCCTACCTATTGTCGTGCCCAAAATATCTATATTAGTATCATTTACTGAAGACTTAACTTGCTGATCTAAAAATTTTATATTTTAACCATAATTAAATAATAATAAAAGAAACTACTTTACAGTACAATGAAATGAATGTTATTCTAAAACATTAAAACAATTAATCTTACTTACTGCAAGTTGTCGTATCCAGTGAACTAGAGGAATGTTCTTCTGCATCGTGAAGAATTTTGCACAAACTCCAAATATTGTCACAGATAAAATCAATGCAAACCTCGCGTAAACTTCTTGGAGACCCAAACATTTTATACTTTTATTTACATACGCGTATGATTCTCGTCTTTCTTTAATTGTTATTTAAATAATTAATTGTTCCAAGCAGGCTAGTTCCATTTCATCCTTCCACATTTGTTTCAAAGAATCTATTACAACATACGCATGTCTATAAACTTGATACACTGTGATTCCAATATTAAACCATAAACTACAAGATAAAATAAATTAATTTCCAATGACAATTTGCACATACGAAACAAATCAAAATACGTCACACGTAACTTATTTACTTACAATAACAGAATATGTCATCACTATCTCACTCAAAACAATAATTTACAATTGCATAGGCATCAGTACCTAAAGGGAGTATAAAAAAAAAAAACTACATACATCATTTTATTTCCTATCATGTAGATGACAGAATTTTAAATAATGATTACGTAATGACAAGTCCACAAAATGGAATAAATATTTGTGTCACTATGCATCTAAACGCATTGTATATACTACGTATCGGAACGAACTTGTGAGGCTGCGAAGTTATTTGTTTGACGTACGAACGTTTACCGCACAATCACGGTATTTTAATAAAACGATTAAATTCTCGTGCGAGTTCCTTTGCAAGTAGCACTTGTACACAATTATAAAAACTACAAAAAATAGTAGTCTCTCACCTGTGGAGAAAACGCCATATTGACTTGCCAAATGTCTAAACAGACCAAAAAGTTCAAGCTTGGTTGTATGTTGTATATTGTAAAATACGTGAATCAGATTATTGGAGACACTAATACGTTCGAGCATAAAATAATGTAGATTACAATTTCATTATTCGATTAATGCTGAAAATAGTATTATATGATATATAATGATTTTTATTAGTTACACGTACCTCAATACTGAGGGAAATCAACATTTCTATCCCCTGATCGAAACAATTTACCATTTGACGTGTATTTGCGTATGAAACTTGAAAACCCTTAATGTTTAACTAAATTTGTTCATTTTTGGAGACATAGTGAAGCAAGTGTAAATTCTACTTGTAAAGGAATTCATCGGTTATTGACACATTATCAATATGGCGGTAATGTGGGAAACGATGTGCTTCTCAATGTATATTACGAAGTCATTCCTGTATGGTAAGAATTTTTGTCAGGTAAGATTGCAGTATCTATATAGAAATTGTTCAAAAATATTTATTTTCCTAAACATAACTACTGTTCTGTGTCGCACAATTATAATACGATCTTAAAATTATAAGATTAACGAATTTCGAAGAGGCTGATTCATAATGCAAATATCAAAGATTTGAAAATTACTAAATTTCGTATCACTTTAATTAATTTTATCAGAATTTTATTCTATTACATCTTTTACAAATATAAAAAAGATGGTGCAAATAGAATCTTTCCTAATTAATTGTTGATGAAAATCTTATACACCGATAGAGTATTATGTGATTAAAATTGGTAATATATTTATAATTTATTTTCCATGTTTTCTCTTTAAAGGTTTAAACAAAAATGAGCTTCAAGATAAAATCATGGTTTGAGATCATTGATAAATGTCAATCATTTTGTAATATCATGATTTATTATAACTGATATCAATCAGTATTCTACCTACACCTAAATTTAATTTCTTAAAAAGAATGCCAAGCTTACGGAAAAAAGTTGCTGGCTTTATGCGGCAACTATCTATCAGTAACTTGGCTGGGGCTGTAGAAAATATAGGTCAAGGAGAACAAACTGTACGGAGTCCTAGATCATTAACACAAGATTTTACAAGTGGTTGCTTTATTACACGATACCTTGATGGGTAATAAGTTTAAAAAAATAATGCTCAATAATCAATATTAACAATAATATTTGACATATAAACCGCATTTCTAGTCTAGAAACAAAGCAAGAAGGACCAGCAATCGTACATGGTAGAAATTCAGAAGAATTGCCAATTAGACAACTTGGAAATTTTCAAGAAGACAAAGAAGTATTTGCTGCGCATACTGGTCCGGATAATGGATTAGCAGCAGTTAATCTGCAACAAAAACATTTAAGTATTAATGATATTGATATAGATTACATTGATACGTTAGATCAAGGTGAACAATATAGAAACAGTAAGTATTAATACCTTTTACTAAATTTTCTAGCAAATGTAAAAACAAATCGCATTTTTTAGCATCTACAATAACAACGCCCACAATTGCGGGTATTACTAATTGGTTTAACCCCCATGAAATGACATATGGAATTGCTACTACATTATATGAGAAAAACCCTACAAATGATACAAATAATGGGGAACCAATTGCAGATTGTTTTGGAATTGTAACAAGGTCAAACTCTGCCATTTTAGCACTTGCTGATGGCGTTAATTGGGGTATGATTATTTTCAAATAATATAACTTTAGATGAAAGTATATGTGTGATAACAAAAAAAAAAATCATTAGGTACCAAAGCGAGTATTGCAGCTAGATCTGCAGTACATGGAAGTATGGAATACTTGAATAAAGCATTTTTTAGTCCTTCAATTAATAATGAAATGACAACAACGAAAGATGTTTTTATAGCACTACTTCGTTCATTCCATGCTGCACATTCGTTAATTCTCCAAGAGCAAGGGATGCTCACTACATTAACCGTATGTGCAGTCCTTCCACTGCCAAATTCTGACTCTAATACAGCTCAGAAAAAATATATGGCTTGTACCTGTAATGTTGGTGACAGTTTAGCTTATGTATATTCAAGGTAATATAAATAAAATGTAGTTAGTCCTCAAATTATGCGGATTCGTAGATGCGCGGTTATAATCTAATTTATATCCGTCATTTTATAAATATATATTTATTCGCATAAAGAAGCATGTATAGCTCTATTTAATTTCAATTATTCGATTTACGCGAAAAACTTTGAAACAAATTAACCATGTAAATGGAGAACTTACTGAATTAGAAATCATACTGTTTGGTATAAAAATAATATTTGGTACCAATAGGAAAACTGGAGTCAGGGAAATAACAAGAGGATCTCATGATATTCATTGTATGCGCGATATGCGTGATGCTCTTGGAGCTTTAGGTCCTGTAGATGGTTCCAATCCTGAATTAAATAATTTAACTCTTGCAATGACTGAAGTTGAGAGTGGCGATATTGTATTCTTGACTAGCGATGGAATTTCGGACAATTTCGATCCTGTGGTTGGAAAATTTGCTGTTTTACCATGCCATAATAATGTACCTGATTCAACTGTGAAAAACCATACCGAAGGAAGATCGAAAACGCGTCGAAAATCTACAGAAAATTTAAGACACTCGGAATCCGGCAATAGTAATAGAAATAAATCCAATTTGCCTGTAGTCGAGGCATATCAAAGACATGAACTCACGCTTCTTAGGATGGAAGATTTGTTACGAAGAGGTGTATCTGGAGAAGGACCACCGTGTAACAGTGCCAAACATCTTTGCGAACTTCTATTGGATTTTGCAGTAAGTTATTTAAAATTTAATTGGATCTATATAGTAATATGCATGCAATTCATGATTAAAGTTTTGTTAATAAACAGCAAGTGAAAGTAAGAAATGTCAGATAAAGTAGAATGCTCAATTTCAAGTACTAACATAAGTTCAATTTTTGTATATAATAAGGTGCGCATAACTGCTGCCAAAAGACGAATATTGGAAGATACAGATTTATATTATGCACGAAGTAAAGATGGCCAATTAGTTCAACTTTCCAAACAAGAACAGAGAACTCGACGAATAAAGACATTGGATAAGGTGTCCATGATTCCCGGAAAGTTAGATCATGCAACAGTTGTAGCATATGTAGTTGGATCTTTTGATTCAGAATATGGTTTATAATTAGCCATATAATATTATTTACAGTTTTTATTTTTAAGAAATGTAGTAAATTAAATTGTTTTTATATAAAATTTTTTTTAAACACGTTAAGTTAAAAGTACTCTTTTAAACATTGTAAATTTAAGTTGTTTATACTATTTTTTTGTTATTTAAAATAAAAAGAAATACATGTGCTTATTCTGTATATGGCAAAATTTATTTAATTATAATTATGAATCTAATTTATATGATCTATGTATATAATGTGTATATGCAGTATAATTATGTATGCATACACATACACGATATGTATGAACACATGTATAGATGCACGCGGTAGTGGTAGACGTCATTTTGAAAACTGTCTGCTAATGACAATTTATAATATTTGAATTTTAAATAAAATGGCACTTAAAACTTATTTGTCACTAAATTGTGTTAAATTATCAGTGTCGTAATTAAATAAAAAATTTTTAAACAAACATGTATTTTGTTTAAAAACTTAAAAATGCTATCGTATTAAGATTACCAGCAGTTTCTGTTTACTGATTGGTTATAAGTAAGGCATTGACCAATCAGGATAAAGATTTTGCTAAATGGGTGCTGCAAAAAGTTACAGTACCATAACCGAGGTGTCGCCAATGGTAAAAGCACTGGGATTTTATAGACTTGTGCTAATGGCAGCCTTGACAAATACATGATGGCCGTTGCCACCGAATAGTGTAACGCGTACATGGAACTGTCGTGTGCCAGAAAAGTTTATTATTTTAAGTAGAATTTTTCCTCTCATGTACTTCGTACATGTTGTTTTTGTTTGCAAAGTAATAAAACGTTGTGTACAGAACTAAAATCATGCCGAAAGAAGTGTGAAAAAACGAAAAATCGCAAGAAGAAAACACGGGTGGCAAAACCGCGTTCGCGGAGGTAATATTGACAATTTTTCATCACGACGCTACTCGCATTTTTCCGCGTCAATATGAAATACATGTATCCAGGATACCTTCTTCGAGTTTCTCAGCTATTCGAACCGAAAAATTTTTCACAGATGGTTGCTTTTTCTTTTGTTTACGCCTTGTCAGTTGAGCTTTTGTTGTGTGCATCCGCGCGCCGCTGGTACCCATAAGTGAGAGTGAGATGTATGCGATTCCTGTATGCGTGTAGTAAGTGGCTTGTGTGGCGTGTATGCTTGCACACAGGCGTGCAAGTTATAACCTCAAAATGTGTTTCCAGCTGTCGAATTTTTATACAGAACTTTTTTCCTTACCATAAAATGATTATTTATACCTATAAGTGTCATTGTACCACAACACTGTGATGATTGCTATCCTATTATACATGATAGAATTTCTCAATAATAATACGTATTTTGTACCATAGTAAAAGTTTCGTTAAATTCCAGTAGTAACAATTCAATTTTAAATCAAAGAGAAGTAATGTTGTTTGAATGATATTGTAGGACACATTCCTTTATCTGTAATGACTAATTACATATTGTTTACATGTTGCAGGATACAAATTAATCGTAGGATTTTGGAAGCCATAAGTGTAGTGTGTGTGTGTGATACTTTAAAATAAATTTGAAACGTGAACCAGCCCTGAGTCATAATAATATCAAATGAAAAATGTTCTGATAATAGTGCTTTAAACATTTATGAATTGGTAAATAATGTTTATCGAATGCTGCTTGGAGTTGGGATGAAACAAAACGTATATTATTTATAAAGTGACAGCTAGAATTGTTTTATATGAGCAATTTCTAATGTAATGTCATGGAAGATTGTAATTCATTTGTGTTTATACATGGATGTGATCTTGCAACAAATGTATTTCAAAGATAAGTCGGAATACTTTCAAAATGCAATTGTGCAGTTATTCTTTAATGGATAATGTAGTTCGAAAAAGAACTACCTGTTGTGTGCAACAAATCAATACCCAAACATGGTTAGCACTAAAGCGTGATATTAGAAGCAAACACCAACAATCTACATAAACATAAATATTCTGGAGAGATAAGAAAGTGCTGTTTAAATAAACGGGTAAAATACGAAGTTACATGCATGACAGGAATAGGAGACGTAGGTCGCAGACGCGTTGAGTGGCGCCGTAGCGCAAACACAACTTTTTCCTGTCATTGAGCTAACACAATCAGTGGTAAGTAATTCATATATAACAATTATTATCATAAGTAAGCATAAATTAGTAAACTGGGTCTAATAGAGATATCTACATAAATAATAGTTTAAAACTTAATACTTAATATTTTTACACAATAATTTATGTGCTAAAACATATCTGATTATTATAACTGTTATTTTGATTATTTATTTTTAATGTATATTATAAATATGTATATTGCTCATTTGCTGTAACAATACATTTTAAAAAATACTCAATTCTGGTGATTTTATCATGTAATAGTCTGCTTTGCGGTTGTAATTCCAACGTCGCGTTTCATGAATTATATCATTATTGCAGCAGATGAGTGATATATCTATATATATCTATGTATATGTATATAGGAGTATATAGAAGCAAGCTTAGATAAGCTGAAAAGGTGGCTAGACGCTGCCCAGAGTAAAGAGGGGCTGCGTGGGCATGCAGCAGCCTCAGTCACGCCCTCTTCTCGGGGACTCAGTATCCTCTACAACTTCCCCGACTGCTCGGCGTAACAATCCTGTTGCTGTTTTGACACATCAACAAGTATGATCTTTTCCTATACCATCTTTACCTATACAACTAAAACTCGTCTTGTATTAATACTAAGTTTTGTTTTATATCGCATTTTGATTTTCAGTTACAACAATTGCAACAACTGCAGGCTCAAAATTCGAGTGGTCAGTCTTTGACATTTGCATTGCAACAAACATCAAATAATGTAAGTACTTTTATTCAAGGATGTATAAAGTAATGCGTCGATTTAATATTGTTTTTGTTACTAAAGGAAATGAATATTGGTTTCATTGTAAAAATTTATATTACAGCCACAAGACCAAGGAAATGGGTCAACGACTGGAAATCACATAGTATATGTAAACCAGTTAAACCATTTAAATCAGGGAACCATAAATCCCTCGGGGACTGGTATGGGCCTACCCCCGGCCACCCCCACTTTTGGGGTGGGCCTTAATATGGGATTGCCACTATCACTTCTAAATACCAGCCTTACATCCCTCACATCTAATGTTATCACTACATCAAATCCTCTGCTCAATTTGGGCCTGCCAAGTATAAATACAGGACTAACTACAATAAATCCTAGCCTCAATCAGTTGAATGCTATAAACTCCAATTTAACCTCGAATATTGGTTCAAACAGTATTAATAATGGTTTATCTGGTTTGGGACAAGATCTAAATAATATAAATACTGGAATTAATAGACTCAATACGTTAAATTCAACGAATATAAATTCTGGATTATCAAATGTTAATACTGGAATTACTAATGTAAATCCAAATTTGACAAGTTTAAACTCAAATGTAAACCAGAACCTGACCAGTTTAAGCACAAACTTTACTTCTTCAAGTTCTGGCGTATCTGGTTTAACTGCTATCAATCCAAATATAAATGCAAATTTGAGTACTACCAGTATAAATTCTGGTGTAAATCAAGGTCTCAATCGACCTGTTAATGCTTTAACAACTGGATTGACTCAAACTAGTCTGAATTCCAACAGTACGCAATTTCCATTCCAAGCCATACAAAGTATACAAAGTATTGCACCACACATTGTTGGATCAAATATTGCACATGTACCAAGTTCTGCCATATCGCAGCACCCAAATTCAAACGTATCTACTATTTCACAAATATCGAATACTGGTACCTTAACAAGTTCCAGTATATTCACAAGCACTTCTAGTGAACCAATTCATTCGACCACAGCAAATGTGAATCACGCCTCGAACGTGAATCTCACTACAAATATTCCACATCTTGGTACAATGCACTCGAATTTATCTAATGTACCAACATCTAATGTACAGCATATATCTGCATCAAATGAGCCGAATATGTCACTGAGTCATAATTCTTCTTTAAGTTCCTCTCAATCAACTGGATTTCAACCTCAGCGACAGTATTCACAGGGAATTAATCCTGGCTTAAGTTCGTCGGTTACATTAACGGGCTCGTCTCAGCCATCAAATGTGGTCAGTACGATAAATACTGTAAAATCTATGCAAAACATTCAGAGTCAAAATATTAGTTCTCCAAGCAGTCCATTTTCAATACCACTGAAGAGTCCAGCGTCTAATATTGCACCACCCACGCCAAGCCCTAGTCCTAATAGGCTGTTACTTAGAAGTCCAGCATCAAATTCAATACAATCGAACAGAAATAGTCCAAGTCCTGTTGGAACATCAACCTCAAATAATAATTTTAATATACAAATGCAAAGTCCAATGCAGAGTCCAATGAGTGTTAGTCAAATACAGAGTCCTGTACTTAGTCCATATCCTCCTGCAAAAAGTCCTCATCTATTAAGTGGAAATAACTCTCTAAACAACAGAAGTCCAGCACCTGGTGGAAGTCCTGGTCCACCTGTGGTAAGAAGTGATTTTTCTATTCGCGCATTATAAATAAGATCTAGATTTCAATAATTTTTTTAAATTCCAGGTTAGACCTAATACGCCAATACTGCAACAAGGTATGCAAGTATTGCAAATAATTCATGGTGCACCACAGGGGTATCAATCAACACCAACACAGTTGGTAACTAGAACGCATCTTTTTGGAAATCAACAAATTCAAATAGCAACAAGTAAACCTGCAAAACAACCGCCGCAAATTCTACCAAAACCTCCTAATCAACAAGCCACTGGATCACAACAAAAGCAACAACGCGTTACTACCACGATCACAAATCAAGTAATATATGTTTTGTTTTATTACAGCTTTTTCAGTTGACTTAAAAACTCATTATTTATAGAATTATTTAATTATTATTATTATCATTAGGTGACTCAACAAACTCAACCGCAGTTAGTACTTGCTGGACCTCAACCAAATCCCACAACAGCTACAATGATACCAACAGCACAGGGTCTCCTACTAAACCAGGTAATTACAACTGACTGTTTAATGTGTTTATCATTTGCATGCAATTCATTATGTGATCATTCGAAAATATCATGTTGTGCCTGTTTTAGCGGTTTCCAATATTATACAAAATAATTTAAATATGCTTGATTTCTACGATAATGGCTTTTATGCATTCTTTAGTGTCACAAATATCTGCTTTGTGCTTCATATGTTTATAACATTTCATACATAGGTATTGCCGTCAACTGGACCCGTTATTGTACAACAGCAACCAGGTGGGGTTCAACTTATTCTAAGAACGCCAGCGAGCGCCCAACAACAAACACATACTGCACAGGTGATGGTTTCATCCATGCAGCCATCCAATTTCATCATGTTCAGTCATTGCTTATCTAATACTTACATAGAATATTTTTTATATGTCGTTTTAAGTGTTACTTAAGATCATTAACAAATTATTCGTATTGCGTCATTATTAGATTTTATATACATTTTCACGTTTTACATTCGTATATCCAAATTTTTGATAAATTACCAAAAAGAAATTTAATAAACATTTTATAAAAGTAATAATACTAAAAAAATACCAAGAAAGAATTTTTGTCGTACAATATACTTATTTAATATATAAAATCTGTCCTTTTACAGCTGACACAACAGCAGTTGGTACGAGTTGTCACAGCACAAGGTATGCAGTTACAAGGTATTACTCCTACGTTTTTTGCCGTACCTAATGGTTTTCCTCCAGCTGCCTCACCAGTAATTAGACATACTCCATCTAGCCCTGCACCTTGTAAGTTTTGCAATTAATTAATTAATTATTATTTTTTTAAATTAAATGTTACATTTAAAAATATGAGAATATTTCTTTTTTTTTCATTTAGCTGCAAATTCAGGGTCTGGCAATTCTATAGTGATTCAAAACGCAATGGTACAAAGCCCTCAACCACAGATTTCACAAGTAGGTTCGGGTACCAATACTGGTAATACTCCATGCACGCAAACTGTCGTTGAACAAACTTTATTACCGCCACCGAAGAAAAAAGCGAAGAAAAAGAAAAAAGCGAAACGGAAAGACGATGAACCACCGAAATTAGATCTTGCTAGTATAATGAAAATATCAGGAATTGGAGATGATGACGATATTTTTGATACTGATCTCACAACTGAATCAGATGTTTCTTGTCAAGTTCAAGTTGAACCAAGTTCAGGACAAAATATAGGACAACTTTCATCTCAAGTAACTATACCTACCAGTTCTGCTCAGAATCTGATACAAGTACCTGCACCAAATACAACGAATACACAAACTTCGGTGTCTCAGACATTGAATAGTCAACTTGTTGCCCAACTTCAGATGCCTGTGCAGAATACAATACAGGGCCAATTGCGATTTGCTCTTGGAGAGGATGGAAGAGTTGTTCTACATCGAACTCCCGAACCAAATCAACCCGAAATGGATCAAGCAACTGCTCAAGCATTAATACGATCATTGACACAAGGCGGTGGACAAAATTCACCGATTATTTCTCACCTTCTTGGGCAGGCGCAAACTACAACACAGTCCACACAAAGTACCGTATTACAAAGACAGAAATTCGTTAAATCGCCTTTATCTTCATCCAGTGTTTCAACAGTTACTACTACTGTAAGTCCTACGGGCCTTCAAAGTGTTACTTGTGCTACTAGTCCGCAACATGTGCAAGTATGCTCAAAATCAAGTAATCAGCAAAAAAGTGTAAATGTTCCTCAAGAATCCAATCCTGTGTTAAACGTTTGTGTCCAAAGTAATCTTGGATCGTTACAAACATTAGACATGCAAGCATCGAAAAATATTAATGTACAAAATCTCATACCAGCATCAAAAACTATTCAATCACCTAATTCTAACCTTGTGCAACCAAACAGTAATGTTTTAACGACTTCTGATGTTATACCAACAAAACCTTCGTGTACCACATTTAGTGTACAGAGTTCTCGATTGTCTAATACAAATCAAGCAACTAGTAATCAACAAAATTCTAATGTTTCTACACAAAAATCTAGTCAAGTGCGACTTACAAATGCTTGTGTAACTACTAATGTGCGACAAAATTTAAGTAAAATATCACAAAGTGGTGCTCATGTACAAAAACCTTTGTCAAATAGTTTAACTGTACAAAATGAACACAACTTAACAAAAAATAATCAGAACCTTCAGCAGGGGAGTCAGCAGGATTCTGTAACATTGCAACAAGAAACACCAATGTACCAGCATAATCAACATCAACAAATAACAGCGCAGTCTGTGCAAACGCAAAACGTCCAACATGTTTTCGAACAAAATCTTCAAACTTCTGGATCAAATGTTCAACATAATTCTGTAAACATGTTGCAACAACAAAGTTCTTGCAATACTATGCAACACGATACCATGAATGTGTTACAACATTCTAGTATACAACAAAATATTAATGTTCTACAACAAAATGCAGCTGGTAATGTACAAAGCATTGAACAAAATCTACAGTCTGGTATTAGTGATATGGCTCATGCGCAACAGAATGTTATCACAAGTTTGCAACAACAAAATACATCTGCTATTTTGCATAACACGAGTGTACAACAACAGAAAGTTGTTGCGGCAAACTCGTTTTCTTCTGTTAATGCGCATCATTTTGAGACTCAAAATACGGCTAACGCCATACAGCAAGGGTTAAATACACAACAAAATAGTCAGCATCAAAATATCGTTATTACGAATGCCCCTCCTTCTAACACTATTCAACAAAGTGAATCTCAGAAAGTAGAAACCCAAAGTACAATGCTTAATTCGGCAGCAAATAATATGTTAAATAATGCACCAAAAATTACACCAGAAATTTTAAATGCATTGAGTAATTTGAATCCAAATGACCAACTGTTAATTGCAAATGCAAATGGACAAATGCAAGTAATAAGTCAACAGCTGTTGCAACAGTTTTTAGCTGGACAATTAAATACAACTAATCAGGTACAGAATCAAAACCAAACTCAAAAAATAGTGATTGGTGAACCAGACGCGACCAATCAGAATTTACAAGGTGTACAAATTAATACTCCAACAAGTCAAATAATTGTAAATAGTTCTGGTGGTGCTCCTACTATTCAAAATAATATACAAAATATTGTAGTGCAAGCTGCGCCTTCTCAAATGCCACAACACATACAGATTCAAAATCCCGGTTTTCCTAGTCAATTTATTGACAATCTAAATCAACAACAAATCAGAAACTTAGGTACTAATCAACCAAAGAAGGCAAAAATTGTTAAAAGGACAAAAACTGTTGTTACTACTCAAAGTACTGGAAATGCCCAGGTACGTGGATAAACTTAATTTATAATATTTGTTTTATTTATTACCCATCATTTTATTTAAATTCACAAATTGCGATAATAGGTAACGAAAACTGTTACGGTTTCCCGCCCAACTATGATATCAACGAATACAACCAACCTTCAGAAGGTTGATAATTCTAGTAAAGCAAATGCTGTGGTATCTCAGAGTACAAATCCAATTAAAAGTGAATCTACTCAAATTGTCACAAACGGTCCTGTACTTCCATCTTCTCCTGGAAGTCACATGTCAGTTCCTTCAAATGGTCAGATGGTTCAAAGAGTACAGACCATTCAACTTCCCGCTCAAAAACAACAATTACTAAAAAGTATACAGTCTCAAATACAAGCTATACTAGCTCGTAAATCGAATTCGCAATCGGATCAAACTGTTTTGACAAAATTGTATCAAGAACAAGCAAAAATTTTAGCAAGTGGAAAGATTGTCAGTACTACAACACATTCCGTTAGTAGTGTAAGTAGTGTAATCTTATTTTGTTTTAAAACAGAATAAATTTATTTGAAAATTCATTTAATGACATAATAAAAATATTATATAATTTTGTTCTTAATAGAACTCGGATGCAAATTTCAATGTAAACGCAGTTACGACAATAGCATCGAATTTAATTTCTCAAAATTCTTACAAAAATCAAACGTCGGCTGTACAGACTCAAACGCAAACATCTACAACTGTAGTAACATCACAGAATTTGAATCCAAGTACGCCGACAACTGTGCAAAATAATACAACTAGTAGCTATATAAACAATCTTACAGTAAGTAATGATTTATTGCATTATAATTATAATTACGTTTATATCAATGTCTATAATTAATTTCATCTAATATTATAAATTTTTTACAGACATCGCAAAATGTGCAAGGACAACAATGTGTACAGAATAATCAAAATGTGCATCAAGCGCACACAAAACAGCACAAAATTTATCAGAATCATGGAAACCAGATATTGAGTCCGTCCTCTGCCAATATGCAAATTTTCTCACCGCCAATTACCTCTGTAGCCACCTTGCAGGGCAACGCACAACAACTAACTCCAGTCCAAACACAACAAACAGGAATGCAACAATCAACACAATGTCAAACAGATCCATTAGATATCAAACCAAACATACAAATGTCAAGTTCTGTAAAACAAGAACTTCCCTCACCTATTCAAGTACAAGTTCAAACTGGCTCTCCTGCAGGTCAGGTAGCCTCACCTAGAATGATTGGCAAAGGATCACAAAGGATTCAAAGTCCTGTAAATACCAGTGGCAGTTCGAACAAACAGATTGTCAGTCCTGGCAGTAACTCAAGTCCTTTAGTAAGTCCAAGACAGGGTGTTAAAAGACCTGCATCTAGCCCAATTTGCAGACAAATTAATCGTAGTGACCGGTGAGTATAATGTTACCATTATAAAAATGTAAGATATCTTTTCAAATTCGTTGTTAAATAGACCAAATGAATATTTTAAGTAATATGTGTAGCGAACATGTGTTAATTGATTTATTAAATTTTCCGTGTTGCACTTTAAAATACATTTGTATTTTCATGTTTACAGATTAGAACAACAGTTAAAAATTGATCAAAACGGTGCGATAAATCCAGATGTTAATACACCATTTTTAAGCAAACGTGATGCTTGTAAACGTCTTGTAAGATATCATTGTTTAAATGAACAAGTACTTAGTTCGAAAGATTTGGCAAAAGCTGATGAGATATTTGAAGAAACAGCAAAACATTTGTTAACAAAATTCAACTCTATGATGAACAAGTACACGTACCTTCTTCTGATGGAGAGCATGGTACGTTAAAAACTGTTGATCTTATTTAGATTTTATTTAAAAATATATTAAATTTCAATAATAAATGCATCTTAAAATTGTAAAATACACAAAGGTGCGTGCATTAAACTACTCACATTTTTCTATTTAATTTGTTATATTTGATATAATATAGAATATTTACAATGAAATTGTTAATTAAAATAAAATTACAGAGAGAAGTGAGGACATCAGAATTGATGATGATTGATAGAACGTTTGTCGCAGAAGAACAAAGTATATTAAATAGGTTACGAGAACAAGAGGCTAAGGTTAATGGTATGTTTTTCAATATAAACATATTAATAAATGTATTTCCGTTGATATCTTATTTCGTATAATAAGTATATTTTTGATGTTTTATAGAAGAATTTAAAAAAGAAGAGAAGCCATTGGTGCCAAAGGTTGAACCTGGTCTTTCAGAAGAGGATAAATTATCATCACCATTAACTAATGTATCTGTGAAACGTGAATTAGAGGATGACTTCCCAAGCGACGAAATGGAATGTAAACCAGTGATTAAGTCAGCAAGTTGTACTAGTGGTGATTATGACGAGTGGGTAGAAATTCAAAAAGAACTTGGTGTATATCCATCTACCACAGACTCGTTTAAATGTAAAAATAGTAATAATAGTGGTAGTAATAGTGCGTGTGCTGTGGCTGTTACAAGGTCGTCAAAAACTGAAAGAACAAGAGCGAACGGTGAATGTCGTGCGAATGTACCAAGTGCGAGTGTTTCTGGAGTTCAAACCACAATTGTAAAAGACAGTTGCGAACAAGATAATACTCCAGTTTTCGAAAGACGTTGGAGTAGCGCTACAGATCTCGAACGGGATTTGTTAGAAGATACAGACAGCCTAGATGGACTGGCCTTACATTCTCAAACACAATGTCCAGGCTCTCTTCATATAACTAATGAAAGTGGAAATGGTAATGAACATGATGATATTACCGCACAGGTACAATCTGCTATTGATAGCATTCTTAATCTTAAAAAACGTCCTACAAATACATTATCTGGCAGTAGTGGTAACAGTGCATCACAGTCCAGTGAATCAAAGGACACAGTGCTTGACCAAGCAGTCCGCAGCATTTTAGGCTCGTGACCCTCCTTTAATAAAGTATGTTAAACAAGTGAAGTTAATGGTGAACATCAAGCTAGTTGTTCGTTTTGAAAATTTTAAAAGGACTATACATTCTTTTTGGTGATTTTTGTGGTTAATGTGAATAATATAAAAAAACTATGTTTGACATTAAGAATGCGACATTGTTTTTGGTAATGCATATCTAAAATCACACAGATTGTTGCTAAATTATTTGTACAAATCATGCAGTCCCTGATTTCATTTATACATAAATTAAAACAGACTAACTGGATTATGCAATTCTACGTATTTTTCCAAAAATTCATCAAAATTTGTTTCTGCAATGGCAATAACTATTCATAATATAAAAACATGTATACTTTCCAGTAGTCTAGCTGTAATAAAGCCATCGCGTTTACCTAATTCTAGCAGCTGTACATGTGGATAGATAGACAGATAGATCGATAGATAGATAGTTAGATAAATAAATAGATAACTTGCTCAGATTTTTCAATCTGCCACTTTGTAATGTAATTTTGTAAAAAGTAATTATTTAAAACAACTTATTCCACTTTGTCTGTAGTACTTGTAGAGAAATCTTACGGATACTTAAAACTGGGTCGGTAAATTGTACATACGTTTTTAACGTGTATTATTAATATTATTATTGCTATTATTTGTATTATTGTTATTGAGATTTACTCTCAGAATTATTATTGTATTATTATTATTAATATTATTATTATATTATAATTATTACTACTATTATTGTCAACGATACCATCATCTCAAATGATGAGGTTGTATGGTATAAAGAGAAAGTAGTGGTTTAAGAGACTGAAATGGAAGACAATGAAAAACATAGAAGGCAAATGATATATAAGGTGAAAAGGGAACATAAAACCTCTATATTAATTTGAATTCATTTCTATTTAATGTATATGCAGTCTTAAATGTTAAAACGCAAAATCAAACTGGCAAACATTTTTTAAGTAGATATAGTATTTTACAACTTTTTTGTCATCACGTAAAATCACAATAGATCTGGGTAAATGATGAGTACATGTGTAGAGAGCACATGTGTGGAAAAAGGGTAATCCCACATTGGTAACATTTTAAGCAAATGATAGATAACCGGTGAGTAAGACTTAGAAAGCAGATCTTTCTATATGTGCCTTTTTATTTTTTACATAGTTGATGACTAATATATCTTGTATCTACACCTGACTCGTAACTTTGATTCACTCAATGATAATATGTCAAATAATGAATGCAGATTTTTTAAACAGTAAATTACACATACAGAACTATGGTCTGAGTTAATCATTTTCTAAATGTCTCGTGAATTACAAGAATAATTGTTCATCACCAACAGTGCTTTTGCAAGAAAAATTTAGTTATGTGGCTGTATTTTTGCATCCTTTTCCCACATAAATTCATGATAGCTCTCTATACACAGAGGCAATGAAATGTTTTTGGCAAAAGCAATCCAAGACTGACGTATATACAGAAAATCAAGCAGAAACTATGTAATGTATTACAATAAGAAATAATCATTTGTACATAATATTCAATTACACTCTCGACGGCAATCGTGACTTAATGAATTCTTCAAAGATTTTAAAATTTGGATATGCTAAAGTTCTTTTGATCCTAATAAATTGCCGATATTTCACGAGTACGTGTATGAAAATATTTTTATCCTTGTCTATGTTAAGATTTCAGTTTGCAGCATGAAATTTCATTTTCCAGTACTGACACTTCTACATGATAGCGTAAAATGCCTGACGAGAGTGAAGTCAAAGTAGCTAACGCGATAAAATGTAATTATTACTATCAATTACATGATTTTAGAAATCATGAACATCTTGTAATGAACAACTCCTCTCCTATCACGTTATCGTGGAATTATTGATATTCCATTTTAATCACAAATTTAGGTGCCTTATGAGAGAATGTTCAGTAAACTTTTTTACCCTGTCAGGCATACAGTATTTTAATACTGTAGAGGCACATAAAATTGTTGAGTATTTTACATTATTCAAATAATTTATTGTATTTCGAGTAGAATTGTGTGCATTTGTAATATAACGAAGCATTATTAGTTGCATCTTTTCTTCAAACTATAGAATTTTCATGAACTGATGTATAATTTAATATTTGTACAGTAAGGCATTTTTTAACAAATGCTTGAATGTGCTTTAAACAATGTCTGTCTTATATAAAATTGCATGTTTTATGTGTGTACCTACATTTCAGAATATACCAAAGAATACAAAATTAATTCAAACTGGATTCATGGTGAAATAAATAATAATTAATATTTATAGCAGTAATTACAAATTAACATTTCTGTTTCAGATTAACATTTTCCATTTGTAGGTACACTATGATATTTGCTTTTAAACGAATTCAATTAATGCTTTTAAAATTATTTAAAAAATTTAAGAAATGGAAGTGAAATAATATCCAGTTGTGTGTGCATTAAAAAAAAAAAAGACCCAAGTACATCTAACAAATATCAAAACTCAGTTTAAAATACTTTACATTTATTTAAATTGTATCCATTTCTATGATTTTTTAATATTATTGTAAAAAGAAATATTTCAAAGGTAAGTTGAAATAAAAATGTTATATATTGTAAAGTTAATAATAACCGTGAATAGGAATTAGACAAAATTTGTAAAAAAAAAAAAATGAATAATATTCGAAGAATAATTTATTGAATATTTAAACAAATTATTCGTATGAAAAAATTGCCAAAAATATGAAAGATTTCAACAAGTTTAATATAATTTTCCGGGGCACTGTAATAATATGAGAAGCATGTGTGTGTGAAGGTGATCCATGACATTAGCGACGTCTACGTGATTTCTAGTAAACTTGTAATTACACGTGTTGCAATGCATTGATGTATTCGTTACAAGTGCAAGTGTACCTGTTTGTAAATAATTTTTGTAATGTGTAAGATTTAATGCATGAAACAGTATGATTTCAGAAATAACTGTAAAAATCACCAAACGTGAAATGAACGATGCTATTGAAGATGATCCTTACGATGTGGAAAAATGTGGCAAATGGGTTGATGCGTGTAATTTAAATAAGGTTTGAATGCTTTATCTATGTGGCGGATATTTTATCAACTAGAATTGTACAATTAAATTGTAATGGAATATTTAATTTTCAATTCTATTCTACTTCCTCAATAATATAAACACACATTATAAAGGTTATATGTATCTGTCATTAAATTTTCATTTATTAATATGTGACAAATAAGTCATATAAATAATATATTACACTCCATGGTGAATAAATGCATAGTTATAAATATGTAAAGAAAGGTTAACCTTATAGGTATTGAATACTTTCAGGTGTGTCTACAATTTCCTGATAATCTTTTGACCGATTCTGTAGAAATAGCATTGCGTCTGGAAAACCGTGTCAATAAAAAAGTATACATTTTGGGAGACACTACTTGTGGTAGTTGTTGCGTCGATGAAATAGCAGCTCAACATATTTATGCAGACAGTATAATACATTTTGGTCATGCTTGTTTAAATCCTACCGCTCGATTACCTGTATATCATGTTTTACCTAAGGAAAAAATTGACATAACAAAAGTTGTTGACGAATTTAAATTTAGTTTTGAAGATAGATCCAAGAGAATTTTATTTTTTTATGATGTTGCGTATGCACATAAAATTGGTAAGTTCTTTAATAGTATTAAGGAAAAATATATTGTAATACTCGATTCAATTCATTAAACCATAAACATATTTTAATTGCAGAAAGTATACATGAAATATTGAATCCCGTTTACAAAAATCTGATTTTTTCCTCATTAAACTGTACGTCCAATGTAGAATTCACAGATACAACTGATAGTTCGTCTACAGTAATCTTAGGTAGAAGTTTTAAATTAGAGAAAGAATATAAAATAGAGGATTACGAAGCATTTTTCCTTGGAAATGATGGAAAAACATTCACTATATTAGCTATAACAATTCCTGCAAAAAAATGGTACTATTTTGATAACAATAATGTCATTGAGTATCATGCTTTAAATACGCCATGGTTAAAAAGAAGAAGGTTCTTAATTGAAAAATTGAAAGATGCAAAAGTTGTTGGTATTGTTGTAGCTACATTAGGTATTAAAGATTACCTTAAAATATTAACAATGGTTAAAAATATTCTTAAAAAAAAGAATAAAAAGTCTTATATTTTAAGCGTTGGTAAAATCAATCCAACAAAACTTGCTAATTTTCCAGAGGTATGTTGGATACTAACAGCAGAGATATTAGTTGAGATTGGTACTCTAAAAATGCATTATATATTTACAGATCGATGCTTTTGTTGTAATAACATGTCCTGAAAATGAAGTATTTGATTCTAGAGAATTCTTGAAACCGATACTTATGCCTTATGAAGTAGAATTAGCATTCAATAGTTCAAGAGAATTATACACTGAGTATTGTATGGATTTTAGACAAATACTTCCTGGAGGAATGAATTATATTGAATTTAAAGCAACAAAAAATTCGGATGTTTCGTTAATTACTGGTGAACTTAGAAATTGTGATGAAAATGCTCCATGTACAGATAAGATGAATGCTTTGGCAATTCATAATTCAGCAGGTATTTACATGTTACAAGAAAAATTAGACAGTAAAAATTCATTAAAATTCGAATAATGTCATTTTGATTTTATTAGGTGTTGTTGCGATTGGGAAAGCAGGGGCAGACTTTTTACATAATAGGTCTTGGAAAGGAGTTGAACAAAGATTAGGTAAAGATGCAGTGCATACAGCAGAAATTGGCCGCAATGGTTTACCAAATTCTTATGAAAATGAATTTGTTTCTATAGAAAAGAAGTAACGAATAATCATAATAAATAAAATCATCTGTTTAATATAGTACAACTTTTTTTATGAAAGTAGAAATTTTCTTAAAATATAATTGTTACAATTTAAGAGATGTTTATTATTTAGTTTAATTTTTCTACAATTTTTGTATATTATATTAGCCTTCTTTCATTATAAGTTTAGAAAATAATTTAAATAATTTCTATAAATCCATCGGTCTCGAACGAAACCAAATAACCAGTTTTTTGTACTACCACGTGTCGTATTGCTGACGTGAGCATAGCGAGATATCGAAATACTCTGTGATCAGCTGTGCTCTGTCATTGCAATGTTAAAGTGATTAGAGCAAGACGAACATAAGTATCGCGTGATAATGTAAAAATATTTTAAAAAATGAATTTGTATTCAGTTAATAATAAACACGCATGTAGAAGTTTCACTCCTTTGATAATATTTTGTGTTTTTGGTGCGTGTATTACAGCGTCGTATACGCAAGAAAATTCTAACCTCAAATATGAAAATGTCACGGACAATAAGAATATCACGTTACAAACTGATAC